CTCACCGGTGCGTTCCTTCTTTTTAAGAATGTTCCAAACAGTTGTTTTGGCCACGCCTAATGTTTTTGCTATCTCTCTGATGGGTTTGTTTTGTTTTTTCAGCCTAATGATGGCTTCACTGATAGTGACAGCTCTTTGGATCTCATCTTGAGAGTTGACAGCAACAGATTCCAAATGCAAATAGCACACTTGAAATGAACTCTGGACCTTTTATCTGCTCATTGTAATTGGGATAATGAGGGAATAACACACACCTGGCCATGGAACAGCTGAGAAGCCAATTGTCCCATTACTTTTGGTTCCTTAACAAGTGGGAGGCACATATGCAAACTGTTGTAATTCCTACACCGTTCACCTGATTTGGATGTAAATACCCTAAAATTAAAGCTGACAGTCTGTAGTTAAAGCACATCTTGTTTGTTTCATTTCAAATCCATTGTGGTGTATAGAGCCAAAAATGTTAGAATTGTGTCCATGTCCCAATATTTATGGACCTGACTGTATATGATGGGACAGCTGAGCTCCATAGAGGAACATCGCAGTGATTGGATACAATGTATATGATGGGACAGGTGGGCTCCATAGAGGAACATCGCAGTGATTGGATACAATGTATATGATGGGGACAGGTGGGCTCCATAGATGTACAGTGCAGTGATTGGATACAATGTATCTGATGGGACAGGTGGGCTCCATAGAGGAACATCGCAGTGATTGGATACAATGTATATGATGGGGACAGGTGGGCTCCATAGATGTACAGTGCAGTGATTGGATACAATGTATCTGATGGGACAGGTGGGCTCCATAGAGGAACATCGCAGTGATTGGATACAATGTATCTGATGGGACAGGTGGGCTCCATAGATGTACATCGCAGTGATTGGATACAATGTATATGATGGGACAGGTGGGCTCCATAGATGTACATCGCAGTGATTGGTTACAATGTATATGATGGGGACAGGTGGGCTCCATAGATGTACATCGCAGTGATTGGATACAATGTATATGATGGGACAGGTGGGCTCCATAGAGGAACATCGCAGTGATTGGATACAATGTATCTGATGGGACAGGTGGGCTCCATAGAGGAACATCGCAGTGATTGGATACAATGTATATGATGGGACAGGTGGGCTCCATAGAGGAACATCGCAGTGATTGGATACAATGTATGTGATGGGACAGGTGGGCTCCATAGATGTACATCGCAGTGATTGGATACAATGTATATGATGGGACAGGTGGGCTCCATAGAGGAACATCGCAGTGATTGGATACAATGTATATGATGGGACAGGTGGGCTCCATAGAGGAACATCGCAGTGATTGGATACAATGTATCTGATGGGACAGGTGGGCTCCATAGAGGAACATCGCAGTGATTGGATACAATGTATATGATGGGACAGGTGGGCTCCATAGAGGAACATTGCAGTGATCGGTTACAATGTATGTGATGGGACAGGTGGGCTCCATAGATGTACATCGCAGTGATTGGATACATGTATATGATGGGACAGGTGGGCTCCATAGATGTACATCGCAGTGATTGGATACAATGTATATGATGGGACAGGTGGGCTCCATAGATGTACATCGCAGTGATTGGATACAATGTATATGATGGGACAGGTGGGCTCCATAGATGTACATCGCAGTGATTGGATACAATGTATCTGATGGGACAGGTGGGCTCCATAGATGTACATCGCAGTGATTGGATACAATGTATATGATGGGACAGGTGGGCTCCATAGAGGAACATCGCAGTGATTGGATACAATGTATCTGATGGGACAGGTGGGCTCCATAGATGTACATCGCAGTGATTGGATACAATGTATATGATGGGGACAGGTGGGCTCCATAGATGTACATCGCAGTGATTGGATACAATGTATATGATGGGGACAGGTGGGCTCCATAGATGTACATCGCAGTGATTGGATACAATGTATATGATGGGGACAGGTGGGCTCCATAGATGTACATCGCAGTGATTGGATACAATGTATATGATGGGGACAGGTGGGCTCCATAGAGGAACATCGCAGTGATTGGATACAATGTATATGATGGGACAGGTGGGCTCCATAGATGTACATCGCAGTGATTGGATACAATGTATCTGATGGGACAGGTGGGCTCCATAGATGTACATCGCAGTGATTGGATACAATGTATCTGATGGGACAGGTGGGCTCCATAGATGTACATCGCAGTGATTGGATACAATGTATCTGATGGGACAGGTGGGCTCCATAGATGTACATCGTAGTGATTGGATACAATGTATCTGATGGGGACAGGTGGGCTCCATAGATGTACATCGCAGTGATTGGATACAATGTATATGATGGGGACAGGTGGGCTCCATAGATGTACATCGTACTGATCGGTTACAATGTATCTGATGGGGACAGGTGGGCTCCATAGATGTACATCGCAGTGATTGGATACAATGTATATGATGGGACAGGTGGGCTCCATAGATGTACATCGCAGTGATTGGATACAATGTATCTGATGGGACAGGTGGGCTCCATAGATGTACATCGTACTGATCGGTTACAATGTATCTGATGGGCAGCACGCTGCGGCCTGACAGGTGAGGCCCGGATCTGACACTTCCTCGGAGGTGGGGGGGATTTTTGGTGATTAAAGAGCTTTAAAAGGGGGTGTGGAAGCCGCGCTCACGGGAAGAGGGGCGGGGTCAGAGCGGCCGCGCGCGTAGGAGAAGAGCTGCTGAGGGGAGGTTTCCAGGCGCGCTCCCGAGGAGGGCTTAGCAGCGCGGGCCGAGCGGCGGGAGTTTGCTTCCTCCCTCCGGGTCTCCCGGGGAAGTTCCCCCCGCCGGCCCCTCTCCTGCACGGGAGTCTCTGTCTCCAGCCCGCGCTTTTTTCTCCTCACGAAGTGTGGGGGGGAGGGGAGCCGGTTCCGGGTTGAGGCCGCCGGTCGGTCGGTGGGTGTGCGGTGTGTAGATAGAGAAGAGCTTACCTACACAGTGAATGAGCTTGTACCGCCACGAGTCAAGTTCCTGCCGAAATCCGCGCCTCTCGATCGAGCATTGCTGGCTCTTACACAGACTCGCCATTTTCTGCTGAGCCCCCCTCGCGCGGGCGCGCACGGACCGACCCCGGCTCCTCCCACACGGGGCACGCCCACCCTTCTTCTCACTCCGGGACCCCGCCCCCTTCCTCTCCTCACGGCGCTGGGCCTGACCGCCGCGTGCTCCTGTGGAGTGGACGCGTGACGTCAGAACGCACGTTCCTGTCACCGGGCTGCGTCCTCCTTCCTCCGGGAGCGGGGTCTCCATGGCGATGGGATACTAAAATAGAGAGAGCCCCGGGGCTACAGTAACCATGAGAACGGGGGGGGGACTACAAGGCTCAGCGGTAATAGGAGCCGATGGAGCGGTCTGTCCCCAGAGAGCCGAATACAAAGTCCGCTCAAGGGGGGGGGGGGGAGATTTACCGCCATTTCCGGTAACCAGAACTGCTGCCCTTACTGGACAATTTCCTTCAAATTCCTTTCCCATAGCCACAGCTGGAAGAGGAAATCCCTGGTTGTCACTGAAACTAGTGCCCCCTATTGGAAGACTTCACTTGTTGCCACAGCAGGAAGTGAGGAAATCCCTGAGTGTCACCACAACTAGTGTCCCCATATGAAGATTTTCCTTCACTTCCTGTCCCTTAGCTACAGCTGGAAGTGAGGAAACCCCTCCATAGTGAAAGGAAGTCCCTAGCTGTCACCCCAATAGGAAACTAGAATGGGTGTCCCCAATGAAGAGAATTCCTTTCTCTTGGCCACAACAGGTAGTGAGGAAATCCCTGGTTGTCACCAGAACTAGTGTCCCCATACGAAGATTTTCCTTCATTTTCTCTCCGTTAGCTACAACAAGAAGTAAGAGGAAATCCATGGCTATCACTGAAACTGGTGCCCCCTACTGGAATACTTCACTTGCTGTCCCATAGCCACAGCAGGAAGTGAGGAAATCCCTGGTTGTCACAACACTAATGTCCCCATTGGAAGCTTCTGCTTCATTTTTCTGTCCCAAAGCCACAACCAGGAGTGTGAAGAAATCCCTGGTTGTCACTTGAACTAGTGTCTGTATTGGAAGCTTTCCCCTCACTTCCTTTCCTATAGCCACAGCAGGAAGTGAGAGGAAATCCCTGGGTGTTGCTGAAACTAGTGTCCCTATTGGAAGCTTTCCCCTCACTTCCTTTCCCATAGCCACAGCAGGAAGTGAGGAAATCCCATCATGATGAAGAATTCCCTGGTTGTCACCAGAAGTAAGTGTCCCCAATGGAAGGTTTTCCTCCTATTCCTTTCCTATAGCAACAGCAGGAAGTGATAGGAAATCCCTGGGTGTCACTGAAGCTAGTGTCCACTTGAAGATTTCCCTCCACTTCCTGTCTAATAGCCACAACAGGAAGTGAAAGGAAATGCCACGAGGAATCACTGGTTGTCACCCATTAGATTTCTGCTCTATTCCTGTTCTGGTGACAACCAGACGTTTTTGGATTTTTTCTTTTTGAACATTTCGACAAATGGGGAAATCTTCCTAACGGGGGACAGAGACAGCAATAAAAACCTTACAGGGGGTCTCATCCCTCCCCGCTCCATCTAAAACTAAAAACAAGCTCTTTGATAACATTTCCAGGAGGCGGGGTCTATTTCTGGGGAAGGAGATCTCTGTGCACTGGGTGTTGATTGGGATTACGACCCCAACCCAGTGATGTGCTTTACATCTCCTGTGCGGACCTTCACTCTGCGCTCCTTTTTAAAGCGGAACTCTACTCCCCCGTTCTCCAGCGCTGTGATGTCCCGGAGCTCCTCGCCAGCTGCTGATATCTGCAGCCTGGCGGCTTCTGATTAACCCCTTCGCCTAAGGGAACAACAAATCTAAATGCCTAAGTACAATTTTGCAACTTTTACATGTGCTAGCAAAACCGTAAATACACTATATTTCCAGAAGTATTGGCCCCGCCCTTCCAATCATGTGATTCAGGCGTTCCAATCCCCTCCAAATCATGTGATTTGGGTGTTCCAATCCCCTCCAAATCATGTGATTTGGGTGTTCCAATCCCCTCCAAATCATGTGATTTGGGTGTTCCAATCCCCTCCAAATCATGTGATTTGGGTGTTCCAATCCCCTCCAAATCATGTGATTCGGGTGTTCCAATCCCCTCCAAATCATGTGATTCGGGTGTTCCAATCCCCCTCAAATCATGTGATTCAGGTGTTCCAATCCCCTCCAAATCATGTGATTCAGGTGTTCCAATCCCCTCCATATCATGTGATTCGGGTGTTCCAATCCCCTCCAAATCATGTGATTCGGGTGTTCCAATCCCCTCCAAATCATGTGATTTGGGTGTTCCAATCCCCTCCAAATCATGTGATTCAGGTGTTCCAATCCCCCTCAAATCATGTGATTCAGATGTTCCAATCCCCTCCAAATCATGTGATTCAGGTGTTCCAATCCCCTCCATATCATGTGATTCAGGTGTTCCAATCCCCTCCAATCATGTGATTCAGGTGTTCCAATCCTCTCCCAATCATGTGATTCAGGTGTTCCATCCCCTCCATATCATGTGATTCAGGTGTTCCAATCCCCTCCCAATCGTGATTCGGGGTGTTCCCCTCCAAATCATGTGATTTGGGTGTTCCAATCCCCTCCATATCATGTGATTCGGGTGTTCCAATCCCCTCCAAATCATGTGATTCAGGTGTTCCAATCCCCCTCAAATCATGTGATTCAGGTGTTCTAATCCCCTCCAAATCATGTGATTCAGGTGTTCCAATCCTCTCCCAATCATGTGATTCAGGTGTTACATCCCCTCCATATCATGTGATTCAGGTGTTCCAATCCCCTCCCAATCGTGATTCAGGTGTTCCAATCCCCTCCAATCATGTGATTCAGGTGTTCCAATCCCCTCCATATCATGTGATTCAGGTGTTCCAATCCCCTCCATATCATGTGATTCAGGTGTTCCAATCCCCTCCATGGACACAGGTGTATACAATCAAGCCCCTAGGCATGCAGACTGCTTCTACAAACATTGGTGAAAGAATGGGTCGCTCTCAGGAGCTCAGTGACTCCAAGCGTGGTCCCGTGATAGGTGGCCACCTGGGCAATAAGTCCATCCGTGACATTTCCTGGCTACTAAATATTCCACACTCAACTGTTAGTGGGAACAACAGCCACTCAGCCACCAAGTGGTAGGCCACGTCACATGACAGGGCGGGGTCAGCACATGCTGAAGCGCACAGTGCGCAGAAGTCGCCAACTGTCTGCAGAGTCAATAGCTAAAGACCTCCAAACTTGGTGTGGCCTTCAGATGAGCCCAACAACAGTGCGTAGAGAGCTTCATGGAATGGGTTTTTCCATGGCCATGCAGCTGCATCCAAGCCTTCCATCACCAAGTGCAATGCAAAGCGTTGGATGCCGTGGTGTAAAGCACGCTGCCACTGGACTCTAGAGCAGAGGAGACGTGTTCTCTGGAGTGACCAATCACGCTTCTCTGTCTGGCAATCCGATGGACGTGTCTTTGTTTGGTGGTGGCCAGGAGAATGGTACTTGTCTGACTGCATTGTGCCAATTGTAAAGTTTGTTGGGAGGGGGGATTATCGTGTGGGGTTGTTTTTCAGGGGTTGGGCTTGGCCCCCTAGTTCCAGTGAAGGGAACTCTTAAGGTGACATTTTGGACAATTTCATGCTCCCAAGTTGTGGGAAGAGTTGGGGATGGCCCCTTCCTGTTCCAACAGGACTGCGCACCAGTGCACAAAGCAAGGTCCATAAAGACATGGTGGAGCCAGTTTGGGGTGGAGGAACTTGACTGTCCTGCACAGAGTCCTGACCTCAACCCCATAGAACACCTTTGGGATGAATTAGAGCGGAGACTGCGAGCCAGGCCCCCTCCCCCGACATCAGTGCCTGACCTGACAAATGTGCTTCTGGAAGAATGGTCCAACCTTCCCATAGACACCCTCCTAAACCTTGTGGAAGGCCTTCCCAGAAGAGTTGGAGCTGTTATAGCTGCAAAGGGCGGAGCCAACTCAATATTGAACCCTACGGACTAAGACTGGGGGGCCATTAAAGGTCATGTGTGTGGAAAGGGCGGGGCCAACTCAATATTGAACCCTACGGACTAAGACTGGGGGGCCATTAAAGGTCATGTGTGTGGAAAGGGCGGGGCCAACTCAATATTGAACCCTACGGACTAAGACTGGGGGGCCATTAAAGGTCATGTGTGTGAAAGGGCGGGGCCAACTCAATATTGAACCCTACGGACTAAGACTGGGGGGCCATTAAAGGTCATGTGTGTGGAAAGGGCGGGGCCAACTCAATATTGAACCCTACGGACTAAGACTGGGGGGCCATTAAAGGTCATGTGTGTGAAAGGGCGGGGCCAACTCAATATTGAACCCTACGGACTAAGACTGGGGGGCCATTAAAGGTCATGTGTGTGGAAAGGGCGGGGCCAACTCAATATTGAACCCTACGGACTAAGACTGGGGGGCTATTAAAGGTCATGTGTGTGAAAGGGCGGGGCCAACTCAATATTGAACCCTACGGACTAAGACTGGGGGGCCATTAAAGGTCATGTGTGTGGAAAGGGCGGGGCCAACTCAATATTGAACCCTACGGACTAAGACTGGGGGGCCATTAAAGGTCATGTGTGTGAAAGGGCGGGGCCAACTCAATATTGAACCCTACGGACTAAGACTGGGGGGCCATTAAAGGTCATGTGTGTGGAAAGGGCGGGGCCAACTCAATATTGAACCCTACGGACTAAGACTGGGGGGCCATTAAAGGTCATGTGTGTGGAAAGGGCGGGGCCAACTCAATATTGAACCCTATGGACTAATGCAGGCCATAGACGGGTCAAAAACCGGCTGTTTTTTTTAAAAAAAAAAAAACTAAAAATCGGTCGTTCAATTGGCCGACGTTACCACCAATGGTAAAAAAAATAATCAGCCGATTTTCGTCCCGTCTACAGCCGGCAAATATAATAGCGGAGTAATTACTTCTGTCCCTGCAGAGAGCTCCGCTATTATATTTGACATTAAAAAGTATTGCGGTTGCAACAATGTATCTATTTGTATCTCTTTCGGATACAGATGTTTTTATTCGGATACAAATAGATACATTGTTGCAACCGCAAGACTTTCTCATGTCAAATATAATAGCGGACTGGAATTCTTTTTCAGAAAAAAAAAAAAAAAAAGTCAAGGGGTATAACGTTCACACTGTATGACAGAGATGCAAGGATCCAGGTCCTTTACATCAGGGGCCCCATCAGAGCACCCCCTGACATCATTGTCCCCATCAGAGTGCTCCTTGACAAATCAGGGCGCCACATCAACCCCATCAGACTGGCTCATGAATCAGTGGATACTCAGAGACCTTGGGGGGTGGGCACAGTCCCCTCCAGACCCCCTCCACCCATAGATCCGGGACAGCCAAACAAACCTGTAACTACAGTGCCTTGAAAAATTCACACTTGAAATGTCCCCCATGTTGTCATGTTACAATGTATCCCCCCCTGAAATGTCCCCCATGTTGTCATGTTACAATGTATCCCCCCTGGAATGTCCCCCATGTTGTCATGTTACAATGTATCCCCCCCCCCCAGAATGTCCCCCATGTTGTCATGTTACAATGTATCCCCCCCTGGAATGTCCCCCCACCAATGTATCCCCCCTGAAATGTCCCCCATGTTGTCATGTTACAATGTATCCCCCCCTGGAATGTCCCCATGTTGTCATGTTACAATGTATCCCCCCCCCTGGAATGTCCCCCATGTTGTCATGTTACAATGTATCCCCCCCCTGAAATGTCCCCCATGTTGTCATGTTACAATGTATCCCCCCTGGAATGTCCCCCATGTTGTCATGTTACAATGTATCCCCCCCCCCAGAATGTCCCTCATGTTGTCATGTTACAATGTATCCCCCCCTGGAATGTCCCCCATGTTGTCATGTTACAATGTATCCCCCCTGGAATGTCCCCCATGTTGTCATGTTACAATGTATCCCCCCCTGGAATGTCCCCCGTGTTGTCATGTTACAATGTATCCCCCCTGGAATGTCCCCCGTGTTGTCATGTTACAATGTATCCCCCTGGAATCCCCCCCATGTTACCCCCCCTGGAATGTCCCCCGTGTTGTCATGTTACAATGTATTCCCCCCCTGGAATGTCCCCCGTGTTGTCATGTTACAATGTATCCCCCCTGGAAATGTTACAATGTATCCCCCCGTGTTGTCATGTTACAATGTATCCCCCCTGTCATGAATGTATCCCCCCCCCCATGTTGTCATCTTACAATGTATCCCCCCCCGGAATGTCCTCCATGTTGTCATGTTACAATGTATCCCCCCTGGAATTTCCCCCATGTTGTCATCTTACAATGTATCCCCCCCCCCGGAATGTCCTCCATGTTGTCATGTTACAATGTATTTATTGGGATTGGATGTGATGGACCGACACAAAGTGGCACATATTTGTGAAGTGAAAGGAAAATGAGAAATGGTTTCCAACATTTTTTACAAATAAATATCTGAAAAGTATGGCATGCATTTGCATTCAGGCCCCTTTACTCTGATACCCCTAACTAAAATCTAGTGGAACCAATTGCCTTCAGAAGTCACCCAATTAGTATATAGAGTCCCCCTGTGTGTCATGTGATCTCAGGATAAATCCAGCTGTTCTGTGAAACCCTCAGAGTTTGTTGGAGGACATTAGTGAACAAACTGCATCATGAAGGCCGAGGAACACACCAGACAGGTCAGGGATAAAGTTGTGGAGAAGTTTAAAGCAGGGTTAGGTTATAGGAAATATCTCAAGCTTTGAACCTCTCATGGCGCACTGTTCAATCCATCATCCAAAAATGGAAGGAGTATGGCACACCTGCCAACCTACCAAGACATGGCCGTCCACCTCAACTGACCGGCCGGGCAAGGAGAGCATTCATCAGAGAAGCAGCCATGAGGCCCATGGGAACTCCGGAGGAGCTGCAGAGATCACAGCTCAGGGGGAGGATCTGTCCACAGGACAACTATTAGTCGTGCACTCCACAAATCTGGCCTCTATGGAAGAGTGACAAGAAGAAAGCCATTGTTGGAGGAAAGCCATAAGAAGTCCCGTTTGCAGTTTGTGAGAAGCCATGTGGGGGACACAGCAAACGTGGAAGAAGGGGCTCTGGTCAGAGGAGACCAAAATGGAACGTTTTTAGCCTAAAAGCAAAACACTATGTGTGGTGGGAAACTAACACTGCACATCCCCCTGAACACACCATCCCCACCGTGAAACATGGTGGTGGCAGCATCATGTGGTGGGGATGCTTTTCTTCAGCAGGGGCAGGGAAGCCGGTCAGAGTTGATGGGAAGATGGATGGAGCCAAATACAGGTCAATCTTAGAAGAAAACCTGTTAGAGTCTGCAGAAGACCTGAGACCGGGGCCAAGGTTCCCCTTCCAGCAGGACAACGACCCGAAACATCCAGCCAGAGCTACAATGGAATGGTTCAGATCAAAGCATCTTCATGTGTTAGAATGGCCCAGTCACAGTCCAGACCCAAATCCAATGGAGAATCTGTGGCCAGACCTGAACATTGCTGTTCCCAGACGCCCTCCATCCAATCTGACAGCTTGAGGGATTCTGCATGTTTTTTCCTTTCCAGCGCTCCTGAGCATGTCTGCACTCTACAAACCATACAACACAAATCCTTTATTAGCGAGGAGGAACGGCGGCGAGGTGAGGATGTTCCCGTCCCTACTTGCGTGTTGTTCTTCTGACACCCTAAAGAGATGTATTCGGAGATAAGGACTGTTTATCCAAGTCCTTGGCACAACTCGCGGTAATAGAAAGGCGAGAAGCTGCTCGGCATAAAGAAGGATTCACAATAGTCTCCCTCTAAATGTGATGCTTATTTACCAAGAAAAAACCTTTCAAGGTAAAACATTTTTGCACTCTTGACACTTTTCACATATCCTTCCTCCATCATTGTTGGCTTTGTGAGCCGTACAGCGAGGTTCTCTGG